ATTTTAGGTGTCTCTTGCGAAGACATTCAAAATGATGCAAGTAGCCTGTTAAAATATACTGGAAATAATTTGAATCAAAATTTAGCTGCTACTTCAGATGTGAATATCGGAGAAAATCATTTTGAATGTGAAATATGCTCCAAACACTTAACAACAAGTTTTTCTTTAAAAGTACACATGAGAATGCACACTGGGGAAAAACCCTTTACATGTAAAATTTGTTTAAAACGGTTTTCAACAAATACACATTTAACTAACCATATGAGAGTGCATACTGGTGAAAAACCTTTCTCGTGTAAAATATGCAACAAACAGCTTTCACGTAGTTCTTCTTTAAAATCACATATGAGATGGCATACTGGTGAAAAGCCGTTTGCTTGTGAAATGTGTACTAAACGTTTTTCAATGAAGAAACTTTTAAAATCACATATGATAGTGCATGCTGGTGAAAAACCTTTCACGTGTAAAATATGCAACAAACAGCTTTCACATAGTTCTACTTTAAAATCGCATATGAGAGTGCATACTGGTGAAAAACCTTTCACGTGTAAAATATGCAACAAACAGCTTTCACGTAGTTCTACTTTAAAATCACATATGAGATGGCATACTGGCGAAAAACCTTATGAATGTGACATTTGCCCTAAAAATTTTTCAACAAACGATAAATTAAAAACACATATTAGAGTGCATATGGATGAAAAACCTTTCACGTGTAACATATGCAACAAACAGTTTTCACGTAGTTCTACTTTAAAATTACATATGAGAGTGCATACTGGTGAAAAACCTTTTACCTGCAAAATATGCACCAAGCAGTATCCATACAGTTCTAGTTTAACAGCACATTTGAAAACACACACTGGTTGAACTAGCAACATTGCTATATGAAACATTTTATTCAATGTCATTTTATGTTTTAAAATACAGACTTATATTACTAATTGGGAAAAATGACGGTATAGAATAAGTACAATTATTGAGGAGGTAACATGCAAACAGCCTTAAGCCACACAAAAATCAAAGTTGAGTTATATGTGCCAATTCATTGTTCTGTGTAGCCAAAGTGGTTTATTTTATCTGATTCGTACAAAAATTTTAAAACCAATGGTAAAAGCATGTTAAAAACCACCTTTACTTGCAAAACACCTTATTTCCATTATACTGGTCCATGCTAAGCAGCTTATTTTCAACCAACCAATAGGAGTTCTGCGACTGCCACTCTAGGTAACCCAGTAAGTCTTACAAATTTGAGGTTATGGGAGGGTTTATCGTCAAAGTAGTTAAAAAGAATTAGTAATTACTTTATTGTTTAAAGGATAATGAATAAGGCAGATGGACGTGTAAGTGTTGGTGAAGGAAATCACTCTTTTTTTCTATATGAATAGAAAGAGAAGGGTTACAGGAGGAAAAAGAAAAAGTGAACAAATTACCAGGTATGTAGTTCCTAGGAGAGCTCTAGTTTTTGTACCGTTTAAGAGAATTTAAATATGCTACCGGACACAAGAGGAAATTGAACACCTCCGGAAAAAGGGAAAAGTAAAGTCTTACAAAAATATTGTGTTGGTAAGAGGTTTGAAACACTACAAGTATGAAGGTAAGAAGTATTTTATATACCTGAGCAAGAAAGGGAAAAAGAATCTTAAACAAGTAAAACTGGAAGTAGGAGATAGAAGTGGAGAAGAAAACTTCCTCATATGTAAGCCAAAGACAATACAAAGATATCCACAAACTTAAAAAACATATTTTTCTGACCCACGCATTGTTTGGTACAAGGGTTTGATTTTTGATAACCCGCTACAGCAGTTGCTGGTGGGAAGCAATAAGTAATGAGTGACTGTCTCGACGATAAGCGTTGTGACTTTCATATTTAAAAAACTGTTTGTTACATTAACTACCTATTATCCCAATGTTTGTCAAATAGGTAAGGCCTATATTATTATTTTGCAAAAATAGAAGTTTATTCAAAACACCATTGTTCCTTTACTTTTTTACTTAATTTACATGCAAAGCATCTTATGTCCACAACATTTTATGTACAAACCGACTTATTTGCACTGAGTTCGCGCAAAAGGTCATATTGCCAAAACAAAATCAATTTTTAAACCATTTTTTAGTTATCCTAACTGAAATAAGTGTTTTAATCTTATATTTGGAACTAGTACTATTAAATAACATTGATTAGAACCCATTATCCTTTCTCAGAGCAAAGCTACAAGTTTTTTGCCTTTTCTGAAAAATTACGTATTTATGGCTTAAGCTTGTTTGCATTTTACCTTCTTAATTATTTAAATGTTATATGTCTCTCAGCATTGCATTGCCCTATACTCTATACTATTAATATATAATAATAAAGAGATTATTGTAAATTTTAATACAATTTATTTATTAAATTCATTTCCTAACTACCTCTCTCCACCACCGTTCCTAATTCAAAAATCCAAACTTGCTGTTTATGTTGTTCCTGTAAACCTGTCCATGAGTTACATAATTATCTGGTCAATAATTTCTAACGTGAGAACTCAGCTTACATTCTCATCTTTTTAAATCAGCTCAGCAGGCATTCTGTTTCTTTGACTTATTTCTTAACTCTCTTATCACTCAAACAGAGACTTTGTTTCTCCATATTGTATTCCTCTCCCATATATTCCAGTCTTGACTTTTGGAGTAAATTTTTATAGTGATTTTACCACTTTTATATAGGAATTAAGTTGCTTAAGAGTGTTTTTCTTTAGATTAGTGATAGTTCTCCATGCTTCCATAGTCTGAGAACCGCCAATTAAATTTTCAACTTGGACACATATTTGTTCCTAAAAATTGTCTTTTGCTTTTTTTATTTTCTTGCGTTTTCTTTGATATGTTAGTCTATTATGTATATATTTTGTTTTGCGTTTAGCAAAGTTTTACACTTAGCACGGCACCAACAAATCTGTGGTAGTTTTTAATATAAGGTGTAATCCACCCTAGGCATTTATCCAGATCCGCAAAGAAGTCAATTTAGTTGGCCTTTTTAAACTCCATCTTGGACGTGGGATAGAACTAGTTAAAGGGATTTGCGTCCCTACTTCTATTATTACTGGTCGATGTTGGCTGTGTGGGAAATTAGTCTTTGTTGTCGGTCGAGACAATGCATAGGTCGGGTTTGTATTTCGCCTCCATGCCGCGGATCTGAAGGTTGGTCGATTTTTGGCATCAAACAAAAGGTACAGGCGTTCGTCTTCTGCCCATTTTATTAAAGCATTCCCATTCGCATCACTATTTTTGTACTTCCACTGTTCATGATGGCTATTGTAATCTCCAACGTATACAGCAGGGTGAGGCTGTACTTCAATTGCTTGGGCTGGCCAAGACGTAGCAAGTGGCTTGTAAATGCAGGACTCGGTAATGCTAGCAATTTTTGTGACCACATTATAACAGTCATCAGTGGAAGTAGATATTACCGAAGCATTTTCAATATCTTCTTTGACATATGTGGCTGTGCTGTATGTTCGGTGGTAAGTTGCGCCTAATAGTTCATAGCTCCGTATTTTGCCCCTTTTTGTAGTTGCTCCTCTGGTACGCAGTGGGTTTCCTTATAGCAACTAAGTCAATGTTGTCATCTTTTAATAGTTTTGATAAAAACTGTTTTTTAGCATAGCTTATGCCTTCTATGTTTATGTGGCAAATTCGAACTATAGCTCCGATTGGTCTGGTTGTGCGGTCCTCACAAGGGCCGTTTATTTTGTTTACCATCTTTCGTTGGAAGTGTTGTTTGGCCAGGAGATCCTAAGGATTGTCTGACTGCCAGTATGTGCTAGTTCATTTAGCGTTACCCAGGGTGCACGTGTAGTGTTCTACTACGGACGCGAACTAGCTCTACACCCCAGTATTCTGACAATCTAGTGTAGATATTGCCAGAAAGGATTTTGTATATTACATTAAGCAATGTAATTGGTCTGTAATTCTGGCATTCTTATCTCCTTTTTTGTATATTGGCTGTATATGACCAACTTCCCATTCCTCCGGCATTTGCTCCTTGGTTCATACCCGCTTTATCAGGTAATGGATTCTTCCCCAGAGTTCGGGTCCTCCAAATTTCAACAATTCTGCCGAAACTCCGTCCGTTCATGAGAATTTTCGGATACTTGTATGAGATGTTCCATCTGAATTGATCTATGTCAATTGTCAATTTACAGAGTGTTTTTATTAAGTTAACCACGTTAAAGGGATGCTGCCTCGCTTTTGTTAATTTTCATTCAAATTCATAAGCATTGTGCATTAATACAGTTAATTAAGCTATGGTAGGTTCTTGAATATGATATTCCATGGTGCCTTCATCTTCCTCTATCGTCATTCTGATTTTAACGATACGCATAACTTCCAGATCTTTATTCATACGTTAGATCACGGTGTTTTTTGTAACATCATGGATGTATTCAATTCTGAGCATGCGGCGATAGCACCATATCTCGAAGGCTTCTAATCGTTTAGATGTTGCCTCCGTCAAGGTCCAGGCTTCAACTCCATATAAAAGGCTAGAAAATACATAGCATCTCAAGACTCGTGTTCTTCACAATTTTGAATCACAATTCAAAATTCTAGACACATGTTACCTACTGCTTTCAATTTTACAATAAAAGTAATTTCTAAAATTTTGCCATCTCAATAAAAAGTTTTACCTCGAGCTATAAACTGGCAGATTTTGTAACTCTTATTCAAGAACAAAATTCAATTTGAATAAAACCTCATTAAAAAAAAGGCCCAAAAGCTTAAATAAACACAAATTTTACGATTTTAAAAATGACAAAGTACGTCTACAGTGGGTCCACAGCACATTAATAGACGCTAACGTTTAAAACAACTCTTAACGTGACGCATTCAAATGCGTAACATATTATCTTTAGTTGAGTGTATCGTGTATCTATTTCTAGTAAATCAATGTATTAATGTTTCTTCAATCATGCTTTATTCATTTTCTTTTCGTTACATTATCCTGATTTTACAGATAATTATTATTTTAGGTGTCTCTTGCGAAGACATTCAAAATGATGCAAGTAGCCTGTTAAAATATACTGGAAATAATTTGAATCAAAATTTAGCTGCTAGTTCGGATGTGAATATCGGAGAAAATCATTTTGAATGTGAAATATGCTCCAAACACTTAACAACAAGTTTTTCTTTAAAAGTACACATGAGAATACACACTGGGGAAAAACCCTTTACATGTAAAATTTGCTTAAAACGGTTTTCAACAAATACACATTTAACTGACCATATGAGAGTGCATACTGGTGAAAAACCTTTCTCGTGCAAAATATGCACCAAACAGTTTTCACATAGTTCTACTTTAAAATCACATATGAGAGTGCATACTGGTGAAAAACCTTTCACGTGTAAAATATGCAACAAACAGCTTTCACGTAGTTCTACTTTAAAATCACATATGAGATGGCATACTGGCGAAAAACCTTATGAATGTGATATTTGCACTAAAAGTTTTTCAACAAACGATAAATTAAAAACACATATTAGAGTGCATATGGGTGAAAAACCTTTCACGTGCAAAATATGCAACAAACAAGTTTCTCATAGTTCTACTTTAAAATCACATATGAGAGCGCATACTGGTGAAAAACCGTTTGCTTGTGAAATGTGTACTAAACGTTTTTCAATGAAGAAACTTTTAAAATCACATATGATAGTGCATGCTGGTGAAAAACCTTTCTCGTGTAAAATATGCAACAAAGAGTTTTCACATAGTTCTACTTTAAAATCGCATATGAGAGTGCATACTGGTGAACAACCTTTCACGTGTAAAATATGCAACAAACAGCTTTCACGTAGTTCTACTTTAAAATCACATATGAGATGGCATACTGGCGAAAAACCTTATGAATGTGATATTTGCCCTAAAAATTTTTCAACAAACGATAAATTAAAAACACATATTAGAGTGCATATGGATGAAAAACCTTTTACGTGCAAAATATGCAACAAACAACTTTCTTATAGTTCTACTTTAAAATCACATATGAGAGCGCATACTGGTGAAAAGCCGTTTGCTTGTGAAATGTGTACTAAACGTTTTTCAATGAAGAAACTTTTAAAATCACATATGAGAGTGCATACTGGTGAAAAACCTTTCATGTGCAAAATATGTAACAAACAGATTTCACATAGTTCTACTTTAAAATCACATATGAGAGCGCATACTGGTGAAAAGCCGTTTGCTTGTGAAATGTGTACTAAACGTTTTTCAATGAAGAAACTTTTAAAATCACATATGAGAGTGCATACTGGTGAAAAACCTTTCACGTGTAAAATATGCAACAAACAGTTTTCACGTAGTTCTACTTTAAAATTACATATGAGAGTGCATACTGGTGAAAAACCTTTTACCTGCAAAATATGCACCAAGCAGTATCCATACAGTTCTAGTTTAACAGCACATTTGAAAACACACACTGGTTGAACGAGCAACATTGCTATATGAAACATTTTATTCAATGTCATTTTATGTTTTAAAATACAGACTTATATTACTAATCGTGAAAAATGACGGTATAGAATAAGTACAATTATTGAGGAGGTAACATGCAAACAGCCTTAAGCCACACAAAAAGCAAAGTTGAGTTAGATGTGTCAATTCATTGTTCTGTGTAGCCAAAGTGGTTTATTTTATCTGATTCGTGCAAAAAAATTATTAGTAATGTTAAAAGTATGTTAAAAACCACCTTTACTTGCAAAACACCTTATTTCCATTATACTGGTCCATGCTAAGCAGCTTATTTACAACCAACCAATAGGAGTTCTGCGACTGCCACTCTAGGTAACCCAGTAAGTCTTACAAATTTGAGGTTATGGGAGGGTTTATCGTCAAAGTAGTTAAAAAGAATTAGTAATTACTTTATTGTTTAAAGGATAATGAATAAGGCAGATGGACGTGTAAGTGTTGGTGAAGGAAATCACTCTTTTTTTCTAAATGAATAGAAAGAGAAGGGTTACAGGAGGAAAAAGAAAAAGTGAACAAATTACCAGGTATGTAGTTCCTAGGAGAGCTCTAGTTTTTGTACCGTTTAAGAGAATTTAAATATGCTACCGGACACAAGAGGAAATTAAACATCTCCGGAAAAAGGGAAAAGTAAAGTCTGACAAAAATATTGTGTTGGTAAGAGGTTTGAAACACTACAAGTATGACGGTAAGAAGTATTTTATATACCTGAGCAAGAAAGGGAAAAATAATCTTAAACAAGTAAAACTGGAAGTAGGAGATAGAAGTGGAGAAGAAAACTTCCTCATATGTAAGCCAAAGACAATACAAAGATATCCACAAACTTAAAAAACATATTTTTCTGAACCACGCATTGTTTGGTACAAGGGTTTGATTTTTGATAAACCCGCTACAGCAGTTGCTGGTGGGAAGCAATAAGGAATGAGTGACTGTCTCGACGATAAGCGTTGTGACTTTCATATTTAAAAAACTGTTTGTTACATTAACTACCTATTATCCCAATGTTTGTCAAATAGGTAAGACCTATATTATTATTTTGCAAAAATAGAAGTTTATTCAAAACACCATTGTTCCTTTACTTTTTTACTTAATTTACATGCAAAGCATCTTATGTCCACAACATTTTATGTACAAACCGACTTATTTGCACTGAGTTCGCGCAAAAGGTCATATTGCCAAAACAAAATCAATTTTTTAAACCATTTTTTAGTTATCCTAACTGAAATAAGTGTTTTAATCTTATATTTGGAACTAGTACTATTAAATAACATTGATTAGAACCCATTATCCTTTCTCAGAGCAAAGCTACAAGTTTTTTGCCTTTTCTGAAAAATTACGTATTTGTGGCTTAAGCTTGTTTGCATTTTACCTTCTTAATTATTTTAAATGTCATATTGTCTCTCAGCAATTGCATTGCCCTATACTCTATACTATTAATATATAATAATAAAGAGATTATTGTAAATTTTAATACAATTTATTTATTAAATTCATTTCCTAACTACCTCTCTCCACCACCGTTCCTAATTCAAAAATCCAAACTTGCTGTTTATGTTGTTCCTGTAAACCTGTCCATGAGTTACATAATTATCTGGTCAATAATTTCTAACGTGAGAACTCAGCTTACATTCTCATCTTTTTAAATCAGCTCAGCAGGCATTCTGTTTCTTTGACTTATTTCTTAACTCTCTTATCACTCAGAGAGACTTTGTTTCTCCATTCTGTATTCCTCTCCCATATATTCCAGTCTGGACTTATTCATTTATATTGGAGTATATTATAATGGAGTAAATTTTTATAGTGATTTTACCACTTTTATATAGGAATTAAGTTGCTTAAGAGTGTTTTTCTTTAGATTAGTGATAGTTCTCCATGCTTCCATAGTCTGAGAACCGCCAATTAAATTTTCAACTTGGACACATATTTGTTCCTAAAAATTGTTTTTTGCTTTTTTTTTCCTCCTCTCTGGTGTGATACGAAGCATTGTCTAAGACTATTAAAGACGGATTTTCCAGATTTTTTAATAATTTTTCCTCAAAGCAATGTTCAAAAATATCGGCGTCCATATTTCCGTGGTAGGTAATCATCAGTTTTTTTTTGTCGAAGAAAATATAAGACTAGCATTGGATATAAAACCTTCCGTATTTCCTGCATGCAATATAATATATCTTTTGCCATTACTCGCACTAGTACTCGAATAGCATTTGGTAGAATCGTCTTGCCAGGATGATTTGGTATTATTTCCTTTCGCAAAAATCCATGTTTCGTCAAGAAACACAAATTGTCTGACAAATTCGGAATTCTTGTTTTTTTAAATAGTTTCTTATAAATTTCCACCTTTTTCCAACAACATTGGACAGCTCGCACAACACTTTACGATTATTGGTTTTTTTGTATCTAAAACCCATAGCTTTTAATACTTTTGATAAACTGGTCAAACCCATATCACAAAGTTCTCTGTCCTTTATTTTTTGAATAAGTGCCGTTCTTGTAACATGTTGTTTTGCTTTGTACATGTCATAAATGATATTTATGATTGAGATTTTAATACCTTGTGGCAAGTCGGGGGTTTTCGGATGCAATAAAGGAATCCTTATTTTCCTTACTTAATTCCTCCTCACTCATTTTGCGAACTCTTTGCAAGGTCCGTTCTGAAATTCCACAAGCTGCACTTGTTCTTTTTTGAACTGCCAGTACTTATGTAATTGGTCCCATGTTGATTTTTTCTAAAGTATAATAATTTTCTACTTTCAACAAAATTCGACGCTCACTCGGAGATAAAAACTTATATTTAGGTGTTCTATCGTTTTCTTGTACGTTATCCATTGTCACTATTGAAAACCAGCGATCGTTGAATACGAAATTGTTTTGGTAGCGCTGATTTATCTTTAAGTACTACAGCCGACCAGTAGGAGGTTCGGTACCACAAAGCAGGTAGAAAAGGGAAAGCATAACGGAGTGGCTGTAACTAGAGGCATAAATTACTTTTCGGGCGTTAATCCGAAATACGATAGGGTAAAACGTTTATATATAAAACATATTATCTTTAGTCACAGTATAAAGAGGTTCCACCTAACCTAACCTAACCTCTTTATACTGTGCTTTAGTTCAGTATATCGCGGGTTTATTTCTAGTAAATCAATGTATTAATGTTTTTTTTTTCGTTTATGAGCACGTACAATTTGCATAATGTGTTTCTTCAATCATGCTTTATTCATTTTCTTTTCGTTACATTATCCTGATTTTACAGATAATTATTATTTTAGGTGTCTCTTGCGAAGACATTCAAAATGATGCAAGTAGCCTGTTAAAATATACTGGAAATAATTTGAATCAAAATTTAGCTGCTAGTTCGGATGTGAATATCGGAGAAAATCATTTTGAATGTGAAATATGCTCCAAACACTTAACAACAAGTTTTTCTTTAAAAGTACACATGAGAATACACACTGGGGAAAAGCCCTTTACATGTAAAATTTGTTTAAAGCGGTTTTCAACAAATACACATTTAACTAACCATATGAGAGTGCATACTGGGAAAAACCTTTCTCGTGCAAAATATGCACCAAACAGTTTTCACATAGTTCTAGTTTAAAACTTCATTTAAAAATACACACTGGAGAGAGATCTTTCACGTGTGAAATTTGTACTAAACAATTTTATTCAAACTATCGTTTAAAAGTACATATGATAAATCATACTGGTGAAAAAATTTTCATGTGTCAAATATGCAACAAACAGTTTGCAGAACGTTCTATTTTAAAAGAACATACCAAAATACACACTGGTGAAAGGCCTTATGCATGTGATATTTGCAATAAAATTTTTTAACAAACTCCCGTTTAAAAATACATATGATAGTGCATACAGGGGAAAAACCGTTTAAATGTGCAATTTGCACCAAGTCATTTTCAATGAAGAAACTTTTAAAATCACATATGGGAGTGCATACTGATGAAAAACCTTTTACATGCAAAATATGCAACAAACAGTTATCACATAGTTCTACTTTACAATCACATATGAAAGATCATACTGGTGAAAAACCATTTGCTTGTGAAATTTGCACCAAACGATTTTCAGTTAAGCAACGTTTAAAATCACATATGATAGTCCATAGTGTTGAAAAGCTTTTTACATGCAAAGTATGCACCCAACATTTTTCAACAAAGTCTGTTCTAAAAAGACATATGATAGTGCACAGTGGTGAAAGGCCCTTTACATGTAATGTATGCAAAAAGCAGTTTTCGCATAATTTTATTTTACAATCACATATGAGAGTGCATACTGGTGAAAAGCCTTTTGCTTGTGAAATGTGCAATAAACGATTTTCAATGAAGAAATTTTTAAAATCACATATGAGAGTGCATACTGATGAAAAACCTTTCACATGCAAAATATGCTCCAAACAGTACTCACACAGTTCTAGTTTAACAGCACATGTAAAAACACACTAGTGGAATTGGGCACAGTACTATATAAAAGATTTTAGTCCATGTCCATTTACGTTTTAATAGACAGACTTATATTACTAATCGAGAATAATAACTGTAGAGCATGATACTAAACAAACAAGATATGCTCACTTACCATTCTAATTTTAATCGACTTTGCGCATGACGTCATAGCGAGACATAACCAGGTAACTTTTGTGAGTTACGCCACTGGATTCCACAAAATTTGCACATTATAGGACAATAGGAACTACGCAATACTATGTTATAAATAGAGGGACATTTCAATAATTTATAACGTTTGTTTAAGTTTTGTCTGCTAACTTTTGCTTGTTAAGTTTTGTTAGATACTTTTGTAAATTTGTATTTTCAAAATAAAATAATTTTTAAAAACTCGTTTTTGAAACATAAGTTATAATTGGCGCAGTCAGTAGGATACGTGCTGATCGGAAAAGAACATTTTACACATCAAGTGCGTATTGAAATCGAACCTCTACCCTAAGTGGTATTATCGAGAAGAAGCAAAGTTCCAGAGGAAGCAAAAGTTCGGAGAAGAAAAGCAGGTGCTCCAAACGTAAGTGACTTTCCTTTTCGCATTTCCTTTCATATATTGTGAGTATAAATAGATTAATTTTTGAATAAGAATACTGATACTCTTTATCTGATATTCATTACTTACGATTGCCTTTAACGTAACACAGTGTGCAAAGTTTTGTTAGTTTTTGTTTGGCTGTTGGTGGAATAACATCGGGAACCTGTCGCATTATTAGTCGGGAAGGTTTGTTTAATGTTGATCGACGATTGGAAATATTACTTTAACTGACATATTTTTCTAATATCATTTCACCGACATCAAGCTGTTTTTTCTGCCAAGTTTCTTATAAATTTGATAACAATTGAACGTGGTAATATCCAGAAAGTGGGGAAAAATTTTCATGTAATATATCTTTAACCTCTTCCTAGCAGATAAATAAATGCTCAAACAGTTGAAACATTGAAAAAGAAATGTGGATAGCTGACAACCTACAAGAAGATATCCTACCGGTGATTATCACAGCCAACACCGGCAGTTTCAGTGAGGACGATTTTTCCGAAATGGAGTAGAGACCAGACACTATTATTATCTTTATTCATTAGGTAGCGTTTTCTTCTTCAGTGCCTTATCCGGTCCGGATGTTGGCGATCATCAAGGCTATCATGGTTTTGTTGACTGCTCTGCGAAACAGCTCCGCTGAGGTCATCCCAAACCATTGTCAGAGATTTTTCAACCACGAGATACGACGGCGTCCCGGTCCTCTTCTGCCAAATACTTTACCCTGCATAACGAGTTGAAGAATTCGATATTTTTCTTCGTTCCGCATCACGTAGCGTGCGTAGGTAGCGTTTAGGCTACATAAATTTTTATTCTTTTATCAGCGTAATTTTATTCTTTGGTCTATACACACTTTTCTTTGTGTCATGATGATGTCATTTGGATGTTATGTGAAATTACAATTACATAACAATTTTCAAAATATTACTTATCAATTCTCCTTAGGGTGCGAAGATATCGAAATATGACTGCGCCATATAATATTTGTGTGCTTACTTACTTTATTTTGAATTAATTAATTAATTATTATAAATGAAATAAAACAAGACATCGTTTTAAGTTGACGGTTGACACACCTGTCCTTTATTATTCAATAGGCAATTTCTAGCAAATGCCAACATCCAAATGACATCATCATGACACTTTGTAATTGTTCAGACTGTTAATAGTAATAATTGATCCAAGTTGGTATATATCCTGTCGGTATATAAATTAACAATTTAAATTTGTAGCCACTACGAAGCTACGAATTTTTTTGTAGCAGATTCCCTAGTAGACTCTGTTCTGTTGTTACACCCTGTGTAATTTAGTAAAAAAGATTTCAAAGAAAATAGTTTTATTAAATTTTGTGTAATTTGCAAAATATTCAAGTTGTAAATAGCGTTACATTTACTTCTATAAAAAATAATAGGATTGCATGATT